GGGGGTCGTAAAGTGGGGGAGGGGGAGAGAGAAGAAAAGAAAGACAAAGAATCCTGTACGACGTCTACTCTGCTCTCGCTGACATAGGCTATTGATTAAACTATTATGATGTAGTGACGTGTCATTGTTATGCACGCGTTACGAAGACTTAGATCTGGTTCAATACATCCACAAATAGATCTCCGTGGTTATGCATGTGAGCTGTTAGGGGGGAAGATTGCTTTACGTTTGCAAACGACTAAGTAAAATTGCTCTTTAATTCTGCTCGAACTCCGAGTACCCACAGAATTTTACTTTAAAAAAAAAATCACAATGTGTCATCATTCTAAAAATGAAAGTCACGTTCTTTCGGATAAGCAGTGTTGTTTCAATGTGACATTGGCCATTGCAAAAAAGCAAGTTATTTTAACTCTTGTTTCTTATATTTCGCTTAAGAAATATTCTCTTCTGCAGTCTGAAGATGATTGGTCATCACCAGCCATAGGTGACAAACCATTATTAATGTAACAGCTCATCAAGTGTTGGACGAGATCACAAAGGCAACAACTCCCCACTAAGAGTTACACTTAACAAAAAGCAATAACGCACGTCAGTTTTAAGGAGTTCTGGTTATCTTTGATTGCAACGGGAAAGTATTTGCCTCGTTGGCTGCAGCTTGTGTTGTAGATCCTAAGATTCTTTAAGAAAAGAGGGGAAAAACTGTTTATATTCTTTCCTGGCCAAAGACAGTGCTCCGGATGCACATCGGAATGCTGCAGCAATACAAAGGAACTGGGCTTTATTTGTATTGTCAACGTTATGGCATTTCAGATATTTTAATTAAGACAGTTTTGCAGATTTAACTGTCGAACAGGACATGCGTTGTAAGTTGCAATAGTTCATTTCTGGACAAGCGAAAAACACGTGGAGTTTTTATTTTCAATGGAACACTCCAGCAACTTAAATTACGACCGAAATTCTCATTGAAAGCGTCATTCCATATAATAATAACAACATACGACAAAGACATCCAAAAGACACATGATAATGAGCAGTGACTCTTGTTACAACAACATATCCTTCATTAAAACATAATGGAAACTCGTAGTACTCGTAGGTTGTAATTACAACCAAAATTGCAAATACCATTTCTGTCATTGTGTTGGAAGTTGAAGGCTCAGTTTTTTTTCAGGAGGTATGCTAGATCTATATCCTTCTCTTTAATTTGGCCAAACAGTGAGTCACTGCAGTTTTCCAGCAATGCAATGACATTGGATTGTAAGGGAAGCTGTGATTAACTTCACAGAGGACCGAAATCGCGCAGTAACGAAAGAATGTGCCGTTGGGGCACATCCTTTAACAGAAGATAAATTATGCCCAATTTATTTAATCGTTATGCAGTCTTTGAGATCCCAGGTTTGTTGCCACATTCATCAATAGAGGATGTGGGAAGAGAAATAATAAGTAGGAATTCGAACACTGCCGGAAGAATTCTTACATTGTCAGAAGAATTCGTAAACTGCCGGAAACATTTCAAAAAGAAATGCCGGGAAAAGTCATATACTGCCGGGAGAGTTGCCTGAAGAATTGCCGGAATAAATACGGAAAGAATTGCCGGGAGAATTACCTGAACAATTCATACAGTGCTGGAAGAATTGCCAGAAGAATTGCCGAACGGAAGAACTGCCGGAAAAATTCGTACATTGTCAGAAGAGTTTGTACATTATTGGAAGAAGGTGCATGGGTAGGAAATATTACCCCGTACGATTTTATCAATAAGCCTACTTTGCACTGCTAAGTCTTAAGTGTCATGCAGAAAGGTAAAGGTCTTGTCGAGGTCTCTATTTAGAACTTACTTGACCAACTACACACATCTGGCGTCTCACTCTCTCTCTCTCTGGCGCTACAACATGAGAGAAGCCGTGACGTCAGGCACGAAAAATTATTTAAAATTGTACTCAGAAAGGAGACGCTAACTACAATTTTACAAGAAGAATATGGAGATTGAGTAAACCTGAAGAAATGATTACTACCCCGGCTGAGACTTTCAGATGTACTGTCCAAAAATAGCCTACCAAGGATACTGGATACTCAATCATTGTTCGTACCAGGAACCCCGTCCACCCATGCCTATCATAAAGACAGTTATCTAAATTGTCAAAGAGAAAGGAGACCTCCACTACACTTTCACTAGTAGAATTGTAATGGAGACAAGGGGAGAAACACCTCAAAATACATTAGAAATTCGCAATCACGGAATAATTATGTATTACATTTTTAGATGGGTTGGTTGATGATTGATACCGTATGTTTCCGGTGGCAATACTCATGTGCAATCCTAAACCAAGAGATGATGCTTTCCTCTTCGAGAAGTGGGGACTTCTACATAATACATCAACCAGACGTCATGCTATCCAGTCTTTGATGCTCCCAGAACTTCAAAAAAAAAAAAAGAAAGAGCAAAGCAATGTCTGTTGTTTTCTCAATTTAGATCATTTTTGGCTCGACCGAATATGACAATGCGCGAGTCCTATTTATAATTGATGTTCTTATTGTATCAGTCAGTAAGTTTATTCAGTGTTTAAGGCCATTGGCCCACATCACATCACATAAAACACTCATTTGATGAGTAAAGTTTCCATAATAAATAAGGACAGGTTGTGTATATATCTCTTATCATGGGTCAAACATTGCATATTTCTGTCACTGGGCCGAGTCAGGCTGGGAGGGATTAAGAATTTCGTTTGATGGACAAAGTGTGAACAATAGAAAGTAAAGTGAAATTCATCTTCAATTTCATGAGAGTTACACCTCTCACATAAGGGTGAATTAGTTAATTTCTATAAATAGAGATTGTTATCTAATGGAAGGCTATGGGTTTTTAACAAAGCTATGACTCTTCTGCTCTTACTGTATCACTAAAGTATGGAGGCCCCCAGACTAATGTTGGTGGTTTGAGGTGCTCTGGTGAGGTTTGTTCGTCCTTCTTTCTTATTGAATATCTCATGTTCCTTCTTTCCTCATCTTCTTTTCTTTGTATGTTACTCTCTTGTGACATCTCTCATCTTAGGCTGCTACTTGACTTATTTATGTTGCAAGTGCCGTAAAATTCTTACTACAATTTAACTAAAACTGTTATCAGTAGTACTATCACAACCACATGCATCATCATCATCATCATCATCATCATCATCATCATCATCATCATCATCATCATCATCATCATCATCATCATCATCATCATCATCATCATCATCATCATCATCATCATCATCATCATCAGCTGCTGCTGCAGCAGCAGCAGCAGCAGCAGCAGCAGCAGCAGCAGCAGCAGCAGCAGCAACAACAACAACAACAGCTACACCAACATTATTACCAGCAGCAGCTGCTGCCGAAACATTACGAATACACAAGAGAAGAAACAACAGTCGCAAAATGTACCAGATGTCAGCAGTGGTGGACACAGCACTTTTTTTGTTGGGTTCCAGCAGGTACATCCGACTAGTGACAACAACATCGACATCAAATACAAAACAATAGTAACAAATAACGACATCTATAGTGCACAGGGTTACTTACTCACCTCCACTGTAATTCATGTCACTGGCACCTCTCTACCATCACAACTTAATCCAACTTTGGCAGCAAAAGTAAACACGGGATAGAATCCACATCATACCAACACAAACATCTGGAGGCTGTTCCCACTGGCTACAATTATTAACGTGAAATAATTTGCTACTCTCTGATGTTGACGTGAAAACAGTATCTTATAATCTTGCAGGCCTTGGGTGGATCATTTCGAAAAAAACCCCTCCAAACAAGCAACCTGACTCTATCAACTTTAGCTGTCAACGTTCATCTAGTGTTAACACTTCATTGTTCAGGACACGAAGAGCTACAGCGTTTCAGCCATTAAGACGCATGCCACCATCATTCCCGCAAGGAAAGTAACTACTCCTTGGGCCTAGGCAAACTCCAAACGGAAGAAATACACGATTTAATTAAAGCAACGCGACGACACTGTTCTGAGAAAAACAAAATAAAACAAAAAGAGAATCTAATAAAACGTTACAAAAAACAAAATGTAATTAAGAACTACATGTATAAACACAACAAGAGCGTCAGTGGCTAATGGTGCGTGATGAATGTTTCTGGCACCAGGCACAACGTCCTCACACCAGGGCAAGCGTCTGGCGGTATTGTTTGAGTGACAAAGAGGAGGCTCCGCGTGTGTGTGGCGAGCGAGAGAGCGAGCGAGCGAAAGGCGCAGTGGTTTCCCGGAGACGCAACATCGTGGCTTCCATGCACAGATTCCTCCCATAATATTAGGTTAACTCTTTGACTGCCATTGCTTTACATAATATCACCTCTTAGTAACGCCAAGATGTGATTTTCAAGTTGGTGCGCTGTATTTTCTTAGTTTTCATTGCATAAACAGATACAAATGAACACAGCAAATTCAAAAAGAAAAAAAAACCCAAACAAAAACAGAACAAAGTCAAGCAGCTTCTGTTTGTCCGCTTGTAGGTAGCAGGTCATTTTGGGCATTTTATCCTTGCGCTAGACACCTTAACCCTAGCTAAAAAACGAAGACCTTGAACCTTGTCTGCAAACAACGTAATGCTCCTGTAATGACTTGTTATACTGGCATGCGCTGATTGTCAAGCACGTCTTATCTTACACACAAATTATCTCCAAATATAACTGTGTTGCTTCTGTTACGCTTTTATTGCAAGCATTACCTCTCGGATACGTCAGTTTTGCCTATTTTTTTCTTTTTATATAGATGTAAAGCAGAATTACCTTGCAAAGATGCCAGTGTTCACATGGGGCGAGGGGGGGGGGAGGAGGAGGGGGAGGGGGAGGGGTAATAACACATTCAGATTTAAGCAGTTTTCAACGTAATGTAGCATAATTCAAAGTCGCAACGCTGAAATCAACTTTATCTCCATTCTTTCATAGTTCATGGTGGAATGTCATGTAAAAATTTCGTCTGCAAAAATAATTAAGTTCGAAAGTGGATTCCGCTCGCGTCTGCATAAACAGTGATCAGTCTCACCAACAGTACATGTATATCTACGTACAGTTTTAGGTCATTTCTTCTGGACTTTGTATCGAAGAACAGTTTTCACGGGCTTACATACAATCTTTTAAATTTTCAGAAGCCTGTTCTTACCAGAAGCCTGGCCTCTGGAGAGAGCCTTTTCTTTTTCCAAAAGCTGGATTAGACATAGAAGGAATGAGACTTTAAATTTAAAGAAATAGAAAAGCAGATAAAGATTACCGGAAACTATTGAACTCAGTGTCAACCAAACTTTTTAAGCAGTCCAAAGTTTCTCATTCAAGCCAAAGTGTTTATCGATTAAGCTTGAGGCGGTCTGGAGGTTTGGTTAGGAAGTAGTGATTATTCGTAACCCTCTACTACGCCTTTGTCGTCCTACCTCGATGGGACCCTGGAAAAAGAAAGTAAGTTTTGGAGGGGATAAGGTCAGACAGCAACCCACTTGATCAATGCCTTGCAACACGTCTTATAATTACCTTTTAGAAAAGGGTTTCGTTCTACTCACGGCATTGCAAACATGTGGGTTGACTTCGATTTCTGATCTGTTCTGTTGCACAATGCCTCATTCAGTGCATGCATGCGGAGGACACTTTCAGCGCTAAACAGCCATTGCGGTCGTATTGTAATCTCAGCTTTTATCGCACTGAACTACATCATGGAATACTGTCATTCGAATTCTTAATAGGTTGCTCTTGAGCTTTGGTTATCCGTATGCCTGATCAATGTTAGATATATGTCAAATCAAAACGAAAACCCCTGTTACAATGATAAGACAAGTGTTGAGATCATTCCGCAAGTCTCGATATTACTGTGTAGTATTCACATTCCATTTACATTCTGAAACTGATGGTCATTTACAGAAAGAAAGATGGAGACGATGTCGGTTCTTTTAAGATACACCGATGACTGCAAGACAGACATATTAAACTGGACTCAACTTTAAAACCCCGAAAGAACCAGCAAAAGATCGCATATAAGAACCAAGAAAAGAGTTTTAAAAAGAATGACCTCAAAATGAAAGAGAAAGACATATATAGGGTGTCAAAAGTAAAATGGAAATTGTTTCGTTAAAAATTTGTGATGCAGCATGGTGACATCAGGTGCTCGTCTAAGTAATGGAAGTCAAGAAACTGGAATATTTCTGCTGGTTTGGGAATTTTTACAATTTAATTTTTGTTAGGCTCCACACTTTTCATACCCGTTAAAGAATTATTTCTGAGTGGATTATCACTGAAAAACACCGATTAAAGGCATTCAAGATCTTACTGTTCAGTTTCCACGGACTCTCAAGCTAAGGAAGTAACTCCACTTTGGCGGCCATTTTGGCGCTAATTTTACCTTTAAAAGTAGGCGACCCCACTCCTTCAATTGTCAATATCTTGACTTGTATCCAAGTTAAATCGTTTTTTTTTCATCAAAGGCAAGGCAAATGGACAAGCTTTAAGATCATATTAATAACTCAATTTGCCCCTAAATTGACGAGCGCCTGATTCCACAACGTCGTGGCACATTTGATGTATTATCAGCAAACAGGCTTCATATTTGATAATGGAAATGAGTTTACAGGAACCAAAAGTTCAAACAAAAGCCGTGCGGGTTTAAATGTCAAAAGTGTGCGAACAGTGCAATCAGTTTTTCCCCGTTAAAAAGTTTCTGTCATGCTAAACAATCTAAACCTCCGTTCAATAACATGACGCACTGACTGATGCTATATTCTATCATGTGAACAAACAAAACGGTTGCACTCTTCTCGAAGATCATTATCAATTTAAACGTCTTATCTGGGGAGAGCAGCAAATACGAAGCATAATTAGGTCAATGTGATGGAGTTAAAAATATATCTCTATCCATCAGATTCGAAATGCCGGAGCATGCATTATGTCAATTCCTTTCACGCGAAAGATACATTCATTCTCTGCCTCCAATGTGGGTTTCTTTATATATATATATATATTATACAAAGACATGACAGTTGTTGTGGGCTCTTGCCCTTCAAAGTATATGAAATTGTACCTGCACCTATTCTAATAACACGGACTTTAATCACAGATCTTTGTGTTATTTTACTTGAACGAAAAAAAAAAAGAAAAGAGAGAATGCAAATAAAAAACAATTAACGCAGGCTGATGGAGGATTTCACCTAGAGGGAACCGGAGAAACTTGAAAGTATAAATGAAAAACAATAACAATGATATAATATATATATTCATAATACACATACACACACACACACACACACACACACACACATATATATATATATATATATATATATATATATATATATATATAAATATAAATATATATATATATATACATACATATATATATATATATATATATATATATATATATATAATGTATATATATTATACATATTATAGTTGTGAAAGTTCGTCACTTTGGCCGCATAAAACTACAGAACCACTTAACTTTCGAATTTGACAAAATTATTGGAAGTTCAGAATCATTTATAGGGTACACAGTTCTATTGAGGAGCCTGAAGTCACTGTAGTTTAATTTTCAGTTTTTCATTAGTTTCGTTTAGGTCTAGTCTTGGGAAAGTCCGTCTTCTAAGACACCATTGTAAGCAAGTGAGGTTTTCCGTTTAATAGCTGCGCGCTCTGTTCCACACCTTTGAAATTCTGAAGAGTACAACCACGAAAGCGGAAGAGAGGATCAATCTAAACACCACATTCTTCTAAACCTTCTAATTTTTTGCATCTGTCAGGATTTATTGTTCAATTCCAGTAGAGTAAATATAATAGGCCAATGACTTTCAGTTGATATTAATGCATCGATCATTCCTTTCAACAAAAGGGGGGCCCAGCTAGTATATATATATATTTCTGAAAATTCGTCTCTTTGGACGCCTAAAGCTTCCGAACTACTTAACTTTCGAATTTGAACATATTAACGGTGGTTCAGAATTATTTGAAGGTTGCATAGTTGTATTGAGGAGTCTGAAGTCACTGTAATTTAATTTTCAGCTTTTCATTAGTTTCGTTTAGATCTAATCTTGGGAAAGTCCATCTTCTAAGACGCCATTGTAAACAAGTGAGGCTTCCGTTCACTTGCAGTGCGCACTGGTCCCACAATGACTTGACGATCGATTTTTTGGAGTCCGTTCATCGAACAGGGTACCCAGCATGCACGCACATATTCTACGACTCACTCGCAATGCACGCATAAAAACATACGTGCACTCATACGCACTCATGTCAACGGTACACAACAACATATCCACACTATATTATGTAAAGACAGACACGTTAACACTCCGAGAAACACAGACAAACCAAACACAAATGTTTACCGACGACTCTGATAATTTGTGCAAGATGTTCCTTATTCAATATTCAACATTATATTATTTTTCTGAACTCCATCCATCGCCATGTATTCACAGAACACGACTATTTTAAACAATTGTCTTTGATTGGGATATTAATTGTTGGATCTGCAAGCAAAGCGCAAAGCAATTCAACAGAACTCTTGTTTGTCTGAGTTCAACATGAACACACTTGCACAGCGACGTTGTTCGAAGAGCACAGAGAAAGGGCCAAAGGGCAAACAATAGGATACACGTAATGGTGAATTGAAAGTTGCCTGCACTGTATGTTACGTTTGCAAACACTAGATCAATTTTTGCAGAATGTGTACCATGCAAACAGCAACTTTGATACTTAATTTTGAGAGACGCATAGGCCTACTTGTTTGCTTGCTTTCTATGCAGTGTTTCTTAATTTATCTCAAAGACTCGATGTCGGAAATATTCCAAAAAACGACTTAACTTACTGTCGCAGAATATTTTGTAGGTTGGTGTTTTGTGCTAAATAGAAATGATGATGATGATGATGATGATCATCATCATCATCATCATGATATTAAATGCATCTTCGAGATTATTCAAATACATGAAGGCTTACTCTTAAAGCTACATGTATTTCTTTTAAACCTTTTTCGCACCCATTGAAGTCGCCAAGCACAATTTTAGTTCCCAACTAATTTAATTTTGGAACGTTCAAACAAAAATTTGTATGCAAAGGCATACACATCAAAAGTGGCTTTTATAAAGATTATCTGTGAAATTCCTTTCAGTTTCAGTCTATATCTTGGTGGATGGTTGGTGGGTGCTCTGGTGTGGCTCGCTCCTTCTTTCTTAGCTAACATTTATAG